GTAGCTGAGCTAAAACATACCGACACCAAAGGGAGAACACTAGCAGTTGAGGTTAAGAGGGGGAATCTACCAATACTAATAGTAGCTATCTATGCCCCAAACAAAAACTTGGGAGAATATTATAAAAAAATAGGCGAGAAAATAAGCAAAATGGGACATAGCAAGATTTGTATAATTGGCGACTTTAATGGAATTGTAAATCCAGATAAAGACTATAAGAGTAACAAAGACAAAAAGAAAAAGAGAGATAAGCTACCAAAAACCTTTTTTGAATTGATGGATGAACTAAATCTAGTGGATATATGGCGGACCCTACATCCGAATAAGAAACAATATACTTTTTATTCAAATCCCCAAAAATCTTGGTCAAGGATTGACATGATGTGGGTCAGTAGGAGCTTGGGGATGGAAATTGACTCAGCAGAAATAACACCGAATATATGGGTGGACCATAATCCCTTAGAGATAAGATGGGTAAATTTACAGAGGAAGAGGCAAAAGAGATGGAGGTTAAATACCAAATTTTTGAGGGATAAGGAATACATCAAAAAAATCAAGGGAGAGCTAAAACTATTTTTCGAAGAAAATGGAAATCAAGATACACCCCGAACAACCGTATAGGACACAATGAAGGCATATCTAAGAGGGCTGGTAATATCTCACAGTATATATAAAAATAAAGAAGGAAGAAACAGAACTTGTAGAGAGACTGGGAGAAGCAAAGGATTCTACAGCAAAATCCAGGAGATGAGGTGGCAAAAGAAAACTGGATGCTAACTAGACACAAACTGAATATTCTGGATCAAGAAGAATTGGCTTATAAAATAAAACGCTCCAAACAATATTATTTCGAAAGTGCAAACAAACTGGGCAGATGGCTATCATACAAATTAAAAAAGGAGAATGAAAAAAGGATTATCCACCTACTAGAAGACAAGAATGGGAACATACGAAATAAAGAGGAAGATAAACTCAAAATAGGATGGATTACACAACATTGTACAAGGAGGAGGAAATCCCGAAGGAGAAAATTGAACAATATTTGATGGGGAAAAACTCCCACTGATAGGAGGGGAGGCAAAAGAAATGCTGAACAGGGAAGTCACAACAGAAGAATTAAAGATAGCAATATCCAAACTCAAAAGTAATAAATCACCAGGCCCAGACGGTTTCCCAGGAGAATTGTATAAAAATTTGGATTTCGAGGAAATATTATTACCAAAATTACAAGAAATATGCAATGAGGCTTTAATGAGATCCAGAATTTCGGACTCGTGGAGGGACGCATATATCACTCTTTTGCCGAAAGAAGGTACTGATGTAAAACCAATAAAAAACTATAGGCCAATTTCCCTCTTAAATGCGCACCACAAAATTTTTATGAGTGTAATAGCGGAAAGATTTTTAAAAATTTTAAACAATTTAATACACACAGACCAAAATGGATTTCTTCCCGGAAGACATATAAAGAACAACTTAAGAATAGTGACCAATGCCCTAGAATACTATGAAACCCATTCGGAGAAGCAGATGGCATTGATATTCTTGGACGCTCAGAAAGCATTTGATAACTTGAATTGGGAATTTATGACCCAGCAAATTAAAATGATGAAATTCGGAGATAACTTTGAAAAAATGATAACCACAATTTATGATAAACAAAGAGGTAATATCCTATGAAATGGAAATATGACAGAAACTTTTCAAATTAGGAAGGGGGTGAGGCAAGGATGCCCGTTGTCACCGCTATTGTTCATAATGGCTTTAGAAAGCTTACTAAGAAGAATCAGGAACAATAATGAAATAAAAGGATTAAAAATTAGGAAAGAGACTTATAAAATACAAGCGTTTGCCAACGATGTCACCTTAATTGTGGAGGAACCATTAGATACGGGGAAATTTTTTTTGGAAACATTGGATAGATATGGAGAGGTTTCTGGATTTAAACTGAACAAAACAAAAACTAAAATGTTAACTAAAAATTTGTCAGAGGACCAAAAGAAAATATTAGAAGAAACTCTGGGCTTGCAAACAGTAAAAAAAATAAAATACCTAGGCATTTGGATAACAGCAAGATGCTCGGCCCTAAAAGAAGATAATTACAAGCCTTTAATTAATAAAGTCAAACAAGACTTGGAAAGGTGGGGGAAATTACAACTATCACTCTTAGGCAGGATAGCCTCAATAAAGATGAGCGTCCTGCCTAAACTATTATATTTGTTCCAAACCATCCCAGTCTATCTAGATAAAAAATTCTTCTTAGAATTGAATAGTATCACCAGGAAATTCATTTGAGGAGGGAAAAACCCGAGGATTGCCTTACAAACATTACAGGATAAAAGGAATAAGGACGGTTTTGGACTCCCAGCATGGGAAGTGTATCACAAAGCAGTAAACTTGGTATTGTTAAGGGAATGGGCCACCTTAGATAATAAAAGAATCCTGACACTAGAAGGACATGATCTGCAGAGAGGCTGGCACGTCTATCTATGGGATAAAAGCCAAAGAACAAAGACATATTTCCACGGGCACAGAACCCTCCCTTTTTTAAAAAAATGCCTTTGACGAGCCACCTGATCATCAGAGGCTTTTTTTTTTTTACTTTTAAAAGCATTTTTTTGGCTGAAGTTGTAGAAAAAATGCTTTTAAAAGTAAAAAAAAAGCCTCTGATGATTGTGCAGCTCAGCTGGGCATGACCACCCACCTCCATCGCTACCAGATCGGGCGATTCGGTCAAAACCGGGAGCATTTCACCCCTGCGCTTTAGCCATGAAAGCCAACTTGGTGATGTTGGGCCTCTCTCTCAGCCCAACCCACCTCACAGAATTGTTGTTGCCGGGAAAATAGGAGGAAGAAGGAGCATTTGGAGTTATTTGTAAAAATAATAAAGGCGGAATATAAATAAATGCTGCACATACATACATAGAAATTATTCCAACTATTTGAGATAGTATTTTCAGAGAAAATGGGTTCAGTTCCATCTCACTGCTCTCATTCAACTCCAACAAAATGAACATCCAGGAAAAAATCTGGTTTCCTTGCATGGCTAGCTGATTTAAGAATGAACTTAAATTAATTAATTTAAATTAATTAATTTAAATTAAGAATAAGAAATGAACAAACATGCATTCCCACCATTTACTTTAAAGTGAGACAACCCACATGGCTATCATAAAAATTCCTGCAGGTAAAGGAGATCTCAGGGCTCTTTGGCGCCAGGATATAGGTTGTAAAGTATATGTTGACACAGGCAATGCTAGGGAATCCAAGTGTCCCCCCTCCTCCAACTGAATGGCAGTATCACTTTTAGGGATCTGACAATGTACATATTTTAAGTACTTTATACTTTTTAATATGTGTTAATTATATATGTAATATAATTAATACATATTTCATATGTATTTTATGTTCATACACTTCATGGACATTAAGTGTACATACATAAAATACATATTAAGTATATATTAAGTATATACCTAATATATATTTATGTACTCACCCATCGCGAGAGCAGTTTATGTTTAAGTTGAAGAACTGAGCTTCCTTTTCAGTTTACTATATAGTTTGCTGCATTAAATAAATTTTAGATCCGTCTTTAACCAGGTTTAAGGGCATAGTTTGTAAGTGGGAAACAACAACCCACCATTGTCAACATAGTTATTGTTGGTTTCATTCAAGCACAAAATGACATGTTGCTTTTTGGAGGATGAAGGCCACCCGATACGCTTGGCCTGCAATGGGATCTTTTAGGGCAAATTCCCACTGGAAGGACCCCCACCCTTGTCTGTCCGTCCTGCCACCAAAGTTATTATATAGGTTTTATGGTGCAATGAAGTCACCCAGAGTCACTTTGCTGAATGAGATAGGCGGTGTACAAGTAGTCCTCCACTTACAACAGTTCATTTAGTAACAGTTAACAACAGCACTGAAAAAAGTGACGTATGACCTTTTTCACACTCACGTCCTTTGCAGCATCCCCATGGTCACGATTCAAATTCAGATGCAGTGTCCCAGAGTCACGTGATCTCCTTTTGCGACCTTCCGACAGTCAATTGGGAAGCCGGATTCACTTAACCGTGTGATTACATGCCCAACTGCAGCTATTAACAACTGTGGCAAAAAAGGTCATAAAACAGGGCAAAGTTCAATTAACTGTCTCACTTAGCAACAGAAATTTTGGGCTCAATTGTGTCCATAAATCGAGGATTACCTGTACCATAAATGGAGATTTTACAGTATCCTTCCCCTGCCATGCCCACCAAGCCATGCCCACCAAGCCACATCCACAGAACCGGTAGTAAAAAATTTTGAAAGCCACCACTGTGCCACACAGCTGGCTGAGAAAGATGGGAACTAGAGTCCCTCCCTGCTGAAAAGCCAACGGCTCCACAACCTGCGGAGGATGGGTGTTGTAGTCCAAAAGACAAGCAGGCTGAGGAAGACTGCTTTATCTTTCCGGGCTACAAGCAACTTTAAAGGCCAGAAAACTCCTACGGGGAAAATTAAAAAAGACAACGGCAGCAATCTGTACATGTTCGGAGGCTACCCAGTCATGGTTCTCCGCGTCACCGCTGCCAGGCCATGGTCTCCCCTCAGGACAAGCCCGCCAAGATCCCTTCCGTCAACCGCCTCATCCCACGACCAACCGCCCGCGAATAAAGGATACGGCCTCGGCTCCAGGAAGCGGCTCCTGCCTGCTTCAGCCCCGCGGCCACATCTGCCATCTTGAAACAACCGCCACTCCCGGCGTCCCTCCGCCTCTCACGCCCATTCTCGCTCCTCATTAGCTAGCCGGCACAACCTTCGCCCAGATACGGGCCCGACAACGCGGAGTCTCGCCAGCAGCCAATGGTTGTCTCCCGCAGAAGACAAGGAAAATAATAATAATAATAAAAAAAAATCTACCGCGGGGCTTTATGGGAGATGTATTTTTTTTTACTTCCCTTCTCTTCCAGGAATCGGTACCCGAGTGAAACTACCACTCCCGTCAAGCCTCGCGAGTCAACGGGTGGCGAGAGTGGACCAAAGAGTTTCGCTTGGTGGCTTTGCAGGGATGTTGCAGCTGGGGAGATGGTGGACCGGGGTATGCAAGGCATGAAGCCCAACCTGTAGAAGTTCACCCGCCTCCTGGGTGAGTGACAGCCGGGTCCCGTCCCTTTCCGTTGTCAGGGAGATGGTCCTGCCGGTCCTGCCAGTATCAAGTGGCAGGGAATTCCGCGGGCAGCAACAAGAGAGGACTCGCTTTCCCGGGGGGGCGGTGGGGGGGGGGGGGGGGGGGGGAGCTTCACCCTCTCCCAACGTTGGCCCAAACTGCTCCTCACGATGCTTGGATTTGTATTTTCCTATTTTTCGGGATTGCCTGCCACCCAAAGATCTCCTGGTGGTCTCCCGTCCATTCTTACCAGTCAGGTTGAGAATACAAAGTGAAGGGGAAAAAATAGTTTGATTTTGGATTCCTGATCTGAAGATTCCAGCTGGGATCTCTTAATGGAGCCCTGATTCTTTGTACACCATTTTTAAATTTAATTTAATTTATTTTATTTTTTTTGGTTTTATTTTTATCTTATTTATTTTTAGTTTTTACTTTATTTTTATCATTTTTATTTTACGCTTTTGCCTTGTTTTTTTTATTTATTTTTTTTATAATTTTTATTTGTTTATATTTTAATCTTATTTTATTTTTACTTTTTACTTTATTATTTTATTTTTACTTTTTATTTTACTTTTTTGGCTTATTTTTATTTTTATCAGTTTATTTTATTTTCTTATTTTTTTTGCCTTGGTTTTATTTACTATTTTTATTATTTTATTTTAATTTTCTATTTTATTATTTATTTTTAGGTTTTTTTATTTTTTTATTTTACTTTTTTGCCTTGGTTTTATTTATTATTTATTATTTTTATCATTTTTTATTTTTTACATATATTTTAATCTTATTTTATTTTTACTTTTTAGGCTTTTTTTATATTTTTTATATTTTTATTTTTTGCTGCCTTCAGAAGGTCTCTCTTCCCTTTCTTTTGCACTGGAGAAAATTTTCCACTGTTTTGAAAAGGAAGTCTCTGCTAAATCACATGCCCTAGATTCGTGGTTTCTGCTAAACTACGGCTTGTTTAACTGGGGCTTGATGAATCGGTCCCAGTTAGACAATGTGGGCAGCTGTGCCTAACCCAGAGTGGCTGCGCTCTTGGGGACACATTGGGGTAGGTTCTACTTATCTTTACTACCGGTTCACATCATGCCTGCACGTGCGCTCTTCTGCACATGCGCAGATCACTTATGATGACGTCTGGGTCAATGAGCGGAGCATCCCCCGGTTTTACTACTGGTTCTATAGAACCAGTCTGAACCGGGGGCAACCCACCACTGGGGACACCCCACTGCAAGCCTCAACTGCATTACACCATAGCAGGATGTATGAATCATAGACTTGGAAGGAACCCTTGGGATCATCCAGTCCACCCCTGCAGGGATCTCAAAAGACCTGGGGCTTTCCAAGCCTCTCCTTCAACGCCTCCAGTGAAGAGGAGCCCACTCTTCCTCTGGGTCACTGGCTCCAAACTTTTAGGACCCGGTGAAATCAGGCTTACTAGCAGTAGCTCTGAGAGGGATCTTGGAGTCTTAGTGGATAACCAGCTAAATAAGAGCCAGCTGTGTGCAGCGGCAGCCAAAAAAGCCAATGCAATCCTACATTGCATTAACAAAGGGATGCAATCAAGATCAAGGGAGGTACTACTACCACTCTATAAGGCCTTAATAAGGCCACACCTAGAATACTGCATCCAGTTTTGGTCACCACATTATAAAAAAGAGGTTGAGACTCTGGAAAGAGTGCAGAGAAGAGCAACCAAGATGATTAAGGGGACTACAACATATGATGAACGGTTGCAGGAACTGGGCCTGGCTAGTCTAGTGAAGAGAAGGACCAGGGGAGACAGGATAGCAGTCTTCCAATATTTGAGGGGCTACCATAGAGAGGAGGGGGTCAAGCTATTTTCCAAAGCACCTGAATGCCAGATAAGGAACAATGGATGGAAACTGAGCAAGGAGAGATTCAACCTGGAAATAAGGAAAAATTTTCCGACAGTGAGAACAATCAACCCATGGAACAGAAGCTGCCCTTGGAAGTTGTGGGAGCTTCATCACTGGAGGCTTTCAAAAAGAGACTGGATGCCCTCTGTCAGAAATGGTGTAGGGTCTCCTGCTTGGGTGGGAGGGAGGGTTGGACTAGATGACCTACAAGGTCCCTTCCAATTCTGTTATGGTGGATTGCCCATGTGGGCCTAGCTTCAGTGAAATCATGCCCTTCTGGAGAGTTGTGAGTCTGGCTTGCCCAGATTCAGGATGCCTTTGGGCTGAGTCCCTGGGCTGATCATGGGCTCCTTTTGTTCATGTTGACAAGGGCTTCCTTGGTGCTTGTGAAGAAGCTGGCCTTAGTGACCTAACCAGTGGAATGGCTTGCCTTCAGAGGTTGTGGGTGATTTTCAAGAAGAGACTACAGACATTTGTCTGAAATATTCTAAGGTACCCTGCTTGAGCAGGGGTTAGACAAGAGGACCTCAAAGATCCCTTCCAATTCTGTTATCTGTTCTGTTACGTGATTAAGAGCTGCAACTCACAATAACAATAACTTAGGATGGTTTTAATCTTCGCTGAGCAGGATATGGTCAGTCCCTGAGAAAACAGGTCAGGATGAGCCCCACTTTTCTCTTTGTTCTGGTGCTGCAGGCAGCTGTTATGCTGAGACTTCGTCTTTTGACCTGGGATGTCAAGGACACCCTACTTCGGCTCCGGGTTCCCGTGGGGCAGAGTTACTCTGCCGAGGCCCAGGCCTTTGGCCTCCAGGTACCTGCTGAGGCGCTCAACCACTCCTTTTCCCAAGCTCATACATCCCATAGCCAGCGTTTCCCCAACTATGGCTTCAGCCAGGGCCTCAGCTCCAAGCAGTGGTGGCTTGGAGTTGTCTTGGAGACCTTCCAGCTTGCCGGAATTCATGACAGTGGTGTTCTCTGGCCCGTTGCCGAAAAACTCTACCGGGATTATAGCAGCCCAAAGAATTGGGAACTGGTCCCAGGTGCCATTGAGATGCTCCAGTGGTGCCAGCAACAGGGTATCCCCATGGCAGTGGTTTCCAACTCTGACCGAAGGGTGCAAGAGATTCTGAGCCGGTGTAACCTCCTACAATATTTTCAGTTTGTCTTAACCTCGGAAGAAGTGGGGTTTGCCAAGCCAGACCGGCGGATTTTTCTGGAAGCCCTCCGCAGTGCCAAGGTGGAGCCTCAGCTGGCTGCTCACGTGGGGGACCATTACGTGAACGACTACTTGGCTGCAAGGAAGGCTGGGCTGCACAGCTTCCTGTTTAAAATGGCCGGAGGGCCAATTGAGAGCAACATGGAGGTGCCAGAAAACCACCTTCTATCTTCACTTTTAGATCTGCAGGCTCGGATAGAGAAAGGCTAAAAGTAAATGACTGGATTTCGGCAGCTGTTTCTAATAGAGGAAATTGCAATTTTAACAAATCTTAACCCATAGTAAGTCCAATAAAACCTTATATCCCTGCTTATAAGAGTCTGCAGCTTCCCTGTCCCAGGTTTCTTGTATTAGAACAACAGAGTTGGAATTAGAGGCCGATACAAAATTTCTTTGGGGAGCTGAGGGGATTCTAACACATGGTGCCACTCAGTTGCTGCCAATAGGAAAAGAAATGTAATAGACATAATGGAGTGGGGGGAAAATATTACTTTGGAGCAGGGGTGAAATCTACTTACCTTCCCTATGGGTTCGGAAGTGCACGCTCCGCCCCCGTGTGCGCACATCATATGCGATTTTGAACCCTCTGCGCATGCACAGAGGGTCAAAAACAGGTTACTTCCCGGTTAAAACCAGGAAGTAACGACATCCGGGCGGGTGAGAGAGGAACTTCATGCTGCCACTGCCACTACCGGCTCGCCCAAACCTGTGTGAACCGGTAGCATTTCACCCCTGCTTTGGAGTATTACAGACACCTTGCTTATTTTAGGCGAATTTACAGACTGAACATGCAGTTATGGTTGATTTGTGAAAGATTCCTTGATGTTCCTTTACATGGGATCCCCAAGGTGCTTTTTCAAAAGGCAACTGGACTTGTTTTCCCTTGAAAGAAAAAGGAAATGGAAAGTCCAGTTGCCTTTTGAAAAAGCCGCCTTGGGGCAACTATGACTGGATGACTGAAAATGTCTATAGCAGTGATGGCTAACCTTTTTGCCATCGTGTGCCATAAGCGGGGGGGGGGTGTCACGCGCACGCGTGCCCACATCCATAATTCTATGTGCCCCGCCCCTGTGCATGTGTGCGCGACCTCCCTCCCCCCTGCTCCTGGCAGGTGATGGCACGTTCCTCTCTCTCCCCAGGCTCCAGAGCGTTTCTAGGAGCTTGGGGAGGGTGAAAACAGCCTTCCTCACCCCCTGTAGGCCCCCAAGAGGCTGGAAACGGCCCATTTGCCAACTTCCAGTGGAACTGGAAGGCCTGTTTTTTGCTCTCCCCAGCCTCCAGAGCCTTTCTAGGAGCCTGGGCAGGGCAAAAACGGCCTCCCCCCCCCCCCGGAGGCCCTCTGGAGGCAGGAAACAGCCTGTTTCCCTACTTCCAGTGGGCCCAGAAGGCCCGAAAATCAGCTGGCCGGCATGTGCATGTGCACTGGAGCTGAGCTCGTGTGCCCACCAATATGGCTACACGTGCCACCTGTGGCACGCGTGCCATAGGTTCGCCATCACTGGTCTATAGATTTTATGTGGAATCTTTCTATCCCAGCTCTATCCCAACCACGGCCAGGACAGGGTCGATGGGGGCAGTAAATGTTTCCTGGTGCCCATGGAGAACAGCATAGGACTCAGGCTGATAAAGCTCATCCAGGTCAACCAATACCCCAAACTCTGCAGGGCACTTCAACAGCTTCATGTCAGCTGCTGATCATTGTGTGAGGACTTCGGGATCACCGCAGGAAACGATCCAGAAGGAGAGATTGTAGCCCAAGAGGGCTTCAGGGCCAGCCCTGTTTTAACATTGCAACGAGTCTAGGAAATGCCTAGTTTGTGTGTGCAGATCTTGCGTTCACTCCAGGATCCCTGCACAGGAGGATTCCTCAGCCAGGGCACTGGGCCAGTGATCGAAGCAAGCAGAGTCATCTGGGTCTGTCCTTCAGGCCATCTTGGGGCTGAAAATCAACTTTCTCTTGTTGATGAAAAGGACCAAGAAGGAGCTAACTCTTTTCTCAACAATGTGTATGTAAGCAGTAAAATGGCCAGTGGGAAAATTGCAGACAGAGTCAGGGAGGTAAGGTGACACTTTACAAAGATGATCAGGGGTCTGGAGGCTAAATTGCATGATGAACCACTAAGGGAACCAGGTACGTTTAGCCTAAAAAAGAGAAGGCTTAGAGACATGATAGTCATCTTCCAATATTTAAAAAGCTGCCGCAGGGAAGAGGAAGTGGGTTTATTTTCTGCAGCATTCTGAACAACAAGAAGCAATGGATGGAAGCTCATTGGAGAGAGGTCCAACCTGGAAATAAAGAAATCTTGACAGAACAATTTTATCAGTGGAACAGCTTGCCTCCCAGAGATGGTCCATTGCTGGAGGTTTTCAAGAAAAGATTAGACAACCATTTGTCCAGGATAGTATGAGATTCTTACCTTGGACAAAGAATCTGACTAGAAGACCTTCAAGGTCTCTTCCAGCCCAAGGGGTCTCTGATTTAACCCAGGGTGTGCAAGGCCAAGTCATCAGCCATGAGCCTGATCAAGGCATTGAGTAACCTGCAACTCCATCGCCCACAGCTCTGCTCTCCCTTGTGCAACCAGGCAGGTGAGTGTAAATGAACTGTGTGCTGACCCTGGGGCTGTGCCTGGTGGGGGAGAGCACCTCACTTGCAAGTCTACCCATTAAGTAGCACCCAGTATGATGGAGAAGGACATCCACTGGGCCCAAAAGTCGATTGAGCCCCACACTGTGATTACTTCTCACTGAGAAATACCACTTCAGTCCAGTCTAAAACTGAAAGGAAGAGTGGATCTGGGGCAAGACTCCAACTGGTTCTCACAGGGTTACAGGTCAGCCATAGTAGCTGAGTGTGGATGGAATAGCACAGAGCTACTGCCACTCACTGCCCCACTCACCTGAAGAACAGCCAAAGTCCAGAGCCATTGTGCAGGTGGACTTAACTCCTTTGCTTTGTTTTGTGGGGCTGCAGGATCCCCTCATCTTCCTCAGTTTGTGCAACACAAAATCGGGAGTAGCACTGAGTCTTGAAGGCACAACCTGGCACCCTCATGGGGCAACTTTTCTGGCTGGGGTTTGTCTGCAACGCTCATTGTCCCCACAAGATGGCAATGTTAGGGAAGGATGACATTTCCATTTGTGAGGGAGTGCTCCCCCCGCCCCCCCCCAACTGTTCTATCAGGGCAGCCTGGTCTACCTGAATATACAGGCAGTCGCTTTTGTGTTGAATTTATATTTACATTTATTTCTTTGTCAGTAAATATAAATTCAAAATTTGTGAGGAAGGTTCCCTAATGGCTGGGGTGGGGTGGTAGCTAGGACTGGGGACACCTTGGGCTCGGGTGAAATCCAGCGGGTTCTGACAGGTTCTGGAGAACTGGTAGCGGAAATTTTGAGTAGTTTGGAGCACTGGCAAATGCCACCTCTGGCTGGCCCCAGAGTGGGGTGGGAATGGAGACTTTGCAGTAATCTTCCCCTGCCACGCCCAGCAAGCCACACCACACCCATAAAGCCACACCCACAGAACCAGTAGTAAAAAAAATTGAATTTCACCACTGCTTGGGCTGCTTGCTTTTCTCAGCCCAGCTAACCTCCTAGGGTGCATTCGGAGGGGGGCTTTGGCACGGGAGGTGGGGGGGGGGGAAGGAAGACAACCACAGGCCTCCAGCCTCAAACCACATTCCTCCATTTTGTATAAATCCCTATCTACCTCTAATCTCTGCTCTCGGTAGGAGTTAGGTATCCTCCCACATACCACAAAGGGGGTCATCAGCGGCAGTAATTATGGTCACCAGGTAGGCTGCAGGGCATCTAGTTTCTGCAGTGACTCCTTCCAGTGCACCTCCTGGGTCTGGGCTGCTTTGGACAACCACTGTTCTCTAGTGTCCATACATACCTAACAAAGTTCAGATGCCAAATGAGGCCCTTCCAATCTTTGCTGGCAGCTGTCGAGTGTGCTCTCCACCTTGAAAAGCCCTGTGGCTGCAGTGCTTTCCATTGCACTTTGCAAAAATTTGCAATTGCATGGAACGACGTACGTTCTGCCTGGCATGAGCTTCTCAAAGGGATTTATGCACCAAATGCCACAAGATCTACATTCTTGGTTCTCTCTGATCAGGGGTTGCTGAAAGGAAATCAGCTCTGCAGCTAGTCCCCATTTTAAAGGAGTGGATGTGGCACCCTTCATCTCCCCCATTCTGCCTTTGCATCCAGAACAATAACTGATGATTATTGTTGTGGATGCAACAATAGAAGAAATGCCCTCTGTGTCAGAACCTCCACCAATCATCAAGCTGCTCTCAAAAGCCAGGAGGGGACTAGGGCACGTGCTGAAAGGGGTCACCATCCTCCTACTCTGAGATGCCTCTTCTTTTAGCCCCACATCTGCACTTTGCACACTTGCAAGCTGAAGTTCAATTAATATTGAGTGGAAATAACAGCTCCAGAAACAGCCTTTGGAGCTACTCCAGAGCCAGCTACTGGATTAGGTCCTGGAATTCTTTCTGGGGTCAGGGTGCCAAGGATCCCAAGATGATTATTAACACAAGATGCTGTTTATTTTCTGGCAGGACTTAGCCATGGAAGCACTTTGCCCTTGAGGTTTTTCACTATGGCCTGCTGGTTCCGAAAATAAAGAGGGAAAGTGTGTGTGTGTGTGTGTGTGTGTGTGTGTGTGTGTGTGTGTGTTGCAAAGCACATTTGACACCGGCTTCCCCCCAACCAGGCCCGGGATTCCGGCAGTCGCATTCCAGGAAGGAGCTTTTGCAGGAAGGGGTTGAAAGCCAATTTGCTCAGAATTACTGCAGGGAGGCAGTGGGGAAGGTTGGCAGGGCAAGGCAAGAGAAGGATTTGTGTGGATTTAAGTGGCTCTGGCCATGTGCAGAGTAAGCACATGGCCAGAGCCGCTTAAATCCACATAAATTCTTGCATTCCCCACTATCCTGTCAGAGCTGAAGAAGCTTCTTGGATGAGAAGCAAAAGAAAAAACAAGGAAGTCCAGTTGCCTCCTGAAAAAAGCTCCTTTGGGACTTCTCAAAGGCTTGGCAAGCCGGGCTGGTGGCAGAGTGGGGAGCGCGGCAAGGTGCCTCTGTGCCCGCCGACTTAGCTCTTTGGTGCAGGTTGGCTGGGTCTGCCTATTCAGCATCTTTCTCGGGTGGGGAGTGTCCTGCTTGCCCCAAGGAGGGGCAGGGAGGCGGCGGGGAGTGGGTGGGTTAGGTGGATCCGGCTGCACTGATACGCGTTGCATTGTGCTAACCACACCGCCTTGCTCACTAGGCAGGGCGCGTGGGAGAGCCGCCGGTGCAGAAAGCAGCC